TGGAGTCCCCTCTCCTTGCAGAAAGGCAGTGATTATTTCCAGATGCAGTTAGAGGGTGGGTAGTTACTTTGGCACTATTTCTGCACCTACTTGGCTTCCTAATGCAAGACTTCACAGTCTTAGGAGTGGTGGGGGCATTGTGTCCTGTAAGGATGTCCTTTGGATAACCATAGAAATGGAATTTTCCTATTCTACTAATGCGCCTGGATTCTCAGCCTTTATTCCTAACTGCAGGTCTCCTGGGGAATTTTGCCCCATCTTCTGTCATATTAGTTACTCTGAGGCTGGTTTAAGACTTTCAGATACTGGTGCCTCCTCTCCTGAGTTCCTCCTTCTTCATCCCACCCCAGCCTCACTAACAAAACCACCAAGACACAGTATCTCCATATCCCCTCCCTCCACCCAAGAAATCCAGAGCCAAATCACATACCTCTGTATGTGTATGTACCGGCCACTTTGGTCTTTAAGGACAGATTATTTCATAAGGAAATTGACCTTGTGCACTTTTGTTTCTCCTGCAGACTCTTAAAGTTACTTGCATTCAGACAAATTGAGAATTGTTCTTATTTCCCCATGTCTCTAGGAAAATTATATTCTCTTTCTGTTTTGCTGTTAATTTCATGATGTATATTAGGATTGAGGAGACAGAAATAAGAGGGAAAATGGATACATCTCCAAAGAAAAAGTGTGCTTCTGTTCGTTAGGACAGAACAGGACACTTGTAGGAAATTTGATTACTTGGGCCTTTTGATATCGGGAAACATAAAACCCTATTTAAGAAAATCCATTTTTGAAAAGTGACAGAAGAAATCAATTGGTACAAGTAAAACTCCCCATTCTTGAAGAAGGGGCTGGTTAGCTCAGTCAGTTGAGCGTCGGGCTGATAACACCAAGGTCGCGGGTTTGATCTCCGTTCGTTCCCCATGTGTAGCCTGATCTAGTTGAGAGGCGTCCCTGCCCATGACAGGGAGGTTGGACTAGATGATCTCTGAGGTCCCTTCCAGCCCAGGCCATTCTGTGAAGTGCAGGAGGATTTGCCATATCTTAATAGGCAAAATATTCTGCAGTATAGAATTTCTGTGTAATAGGATTTTGGAAAAAAGCTGGGAGGGTTTTTCAGTGAATGACCGAGGAGTTAAGTATTGAAACTAGGTATCTCGGATATTATATCTAATAGTGGAGTGAGTCGGTTTTAATACATTTAAAAGAATGTTGTGCCCTTAAGGTGCAGATGTGAGGTATTAGCTGTTAGGAAATTTTCTTGAGCCACACAGTTACACCTCCAAAAGTCCTTCTAGAAAATAAGTCACTGCACTTTAAAATTAGGTAGGCAGGCATGCGTATATGTAATCTTAGAATGGTTTGAGTTGGAAGGGTCTAGTTCCAACTCCCTTGCCATGGGCAGGGACACATGTTAATATGTATATTAATACTGCATTGGTGGAAGAACAAATACTTAAAGGCTATACTAGAAATGTTAAAGAGTAGCAAATAATTCTCCAATTGCAGAGACCCTTCCATTCAGGTCTGTGGTTTCTTGCAAGAAGCCACAAAGTGGCTGTGATTTTCTCTTCATTACTGTGTGTATTTTTAGAAATGAAGTACTAGACCATAGATTGAGAAGAAACTTGTTTGGGATGCATGTGGTGTAGAGAAAATATTTTTGTTACAGAGTAAGCATTAGCTAGTAGGCAAAAAAGTTTGAGATTATTTAATTCCATTTCAGGAAAGTTTCTATGAAATCTTCTTGTGCACTTCAAAAAGAATGAATAAAACCATAGGAAAGAGGAGGATGGAGGAGGGAATAGAAATAGATACAGCTGAACAGTGTAACTCAACAATGAGACAGATGCTCAGAAGCAGGAGAGCAGGGAAGCTGAGCTAGCGCAGTCGAATTGCTGTCACTGATAGTGTGTTGTTACTGAACTGCTCTGGGTGCTCCTGCTGTGTCCGTCGGCCCGCAGATGTATTTCTCAGCAACAGCTGAAATGCTGGGAAGGGCTGGCACAGGAGTACTTGCCAGCTGACATTTCCTGAAGCTTCTGCTGCTTCTGTACATTAAAAGTTTTACCTGGAAAGCTTAGTCCTTTCTAGTGAAGAGACTTGGGTGGGGAGAGACAGGCACTGATTTCCTTCTGTTTCCCTTTAAACGTGTAAAAGACTTGTGAGAGGACCAAAACAACTGGAGGCATCTTGTGCATGTCGGGAGGGGTTCTTTCTGTATTCTGAGGTTATTGCCTTGTGTTAGTCAACTGTGTCAAAATAGAAGTAAGTGCTAATGCAGTGTAACACCAGGACCTCTCCCCATTGTGCACATAGTCCTGTATAAGGACTAATACTGTATAAAGGGATTCTTGGAAGTACTTTTAGAATCAAACTTATTTAATGGAATTACAAGGGAAAAAGCTCCTTCCTCTCTTTGGCTGCTGTATTTTCCTGTGCGGTCCTGCTGGCCTGCCTCAGCCCAGACATGTTGCTGTTGTGTAAGTGTCTTGGTAGCAGGAAGAATCTTTACAAGGGAGAATGACTGCATGAGCCTATTAAAAGCAGTGTCAGTTTGAAGTTACCTGCTTAAAAATAACATCAGATTTGCCATTGTGGCAGCTGTTAATAAGCAACTAGTCTCAACTGAACAACAACAGCAAAACAAACCAACAACAACAACAACAAAGTTGTAATCAGAGCAGCAGCTGTCACTTGTGAAATTAAACAGAGCAGTGGTCAGTCATGCTGACATTTGTCTGTGGTACAGCTTCTCACCTGCTCACACCTAGTTTTAGAATAATATAAATCCATCTGCTGGATGAAGGCGCAGGAAAGGCTTTGGGCATTTTCTGTACAGCTACCAGAGTTGCTGGTGTGAGGAAGCACCCAGAACTGATGAAGCCTGTAGCCAATTGCACATGTTCTGCAGGCGATAAAGCAGCTCCAGGTCTTCTGTATGACTGGAAACTGCTCTCTTAGTACAGAAATTAAGTTTTCACTTAAGTTTCTTAGTACAGAAATTAAGTTTTGACAATCCAAGTTTCTTGTTTCATGCTTTGTCAAGCAGAAAGAAAATCTGAATACATGCTGGGTAAAAGAGATTTGAAGACTATTTTATCAGTTATTCATGTTGTGGGCTGTCATCTTTCCAAGTTTGCTTTCGTGTTCAGAAGTAAACCTGGTTTCCCACCCATGTGCAGTTGCATAAACCTTTTTCTTTCTAATACAACTGTATAACTTTGCCAACTACCAGAAATGCTTACACAGAGTAGAACTTTATTACAGCAACGTATTTTTAGCTGTCTTAAGCAGAATTTAGTGGAAATAAGGAAAGAGGAAAGAACAGCCAGTATCAAATCATCAACTGTCTTTTTTTCGGCTACCATCATGTGCTACTTGGGCCCACCTCTGCTCAGTTTAGCAGTTGGGTAGTGTTCTGGTCTACTATTGGTAAATCCAGTAGTAGTATTCATGCGAGGCACCATTAGAACACCTTTTGTTAAAAGAACTGTGTGACAGCTTATTTTTGAAGTGGCTAAGCAGTATGTTCCCTAGTGGTAAAATTAAGGTCCCCAGAAATAATGCAGCACTTAACCCTGTGAGGAGTGAGAAAAAATTATTTTCCAGTTCAAGTTTAACTGTAGCTTCAGAATCTGATTTCATCCTGACCTTGCTACTAAAAAAACCCAACATCGTTATGGATGGGGCTGATCTTCTTGATGCTCCATTTATAGCTGAAAAAGTCACCATGCCAAAATTATGATGTAAGTTATTCAAAAGAAACCAACCAAACATTCCCCAAATGTTTAACTTTGGAAAGTAGCACCTTTGCATCTACAGTGCATGCTCTATGTGTGTATTTACATGGTAAATGTGATGCTTCTAAAAAGTAGCCATGGCTTTTGAAGTTGGCAGTGGAGGGATTTACCAGTTTAATGTGCTTAGTCCCTCAAGCCTGTGTTTTAGTTAGCTTCTAAGATTTTGCAAGACTGTCAGTTAACATTTGTGCTGAAGTTCCTGGATGGTACTTCCAACTGTATTGTTGTTCTCTGTAAATACAGTAACTATGGTGCCTTTTTTGGTGACTGTTCCACAATAAATGCAACGGTGTTTACAGGGGTGGGTTTGGAGAAGGTCCTCTTAAAGCTGAAAGAGGTATCTTGTCCTAGACAGACCAGAGGTGACAACAGCAGGGATTTAGAAACTAGTAAGAGTTAAATACTGCGAATTTGGGATAACACATAAAAACATAGATATACACATCAAGCAGAGTTGAGAGAAAAAGCATGGGAACTGCACACATCCACTTGCTAACCAGGGTGGTAATGTGCAGCTGAAAAGGACCACGAACAAATGGAGTTCAGTGAGATACACCAATGGTAACAGGAGGAGTGTGGAGTGAGGTCCTTGATCTTATCAATCGCATCAAGTTACTTCTGATATTTAACTACAGCTGGAATGTTATGCTAAAGCATGATAATAGTAAAGGTGACTGGTACTGAGAATAAAGTTAAAAACTTGTCAGCTCTATGTGCAGTATATGTAGACGTTACTAAAGATGTTAACAGTCTGCCCACTTGGAGCAAGGTGGGGCTCCTTCTGTTTGGAGGACTGTAAATTTGAATGGTCACCAGCTGGTGGGGGGGGTTTTTTGGTGTGTAAGACTTACCCTTGGTTAGTGCAGGAGTAAATACTGGTTTGACTTCTCTAAGCCTTAAGTGGCTCTGATATTGCCAGTACCTTTATCCAGAAAACTGTCATTTGTCACACTGGTATAAATACAGCAAGTATCTACTTGATAGTGTTACACAGTTTTACATAAAACATGAAGACCAACATCCTATCAAACTCCACTTTAGTGTACTTGTGAGAGTATAGCAGTTGGAACATTTGTGGACATTACCATGTTTCTGAATGTGAATTTCAATTCAACTTCGAACAGACCCAGCACAACTGCATGCAGTTTACTGCTTTTGTTTACTGCATTTTTTAATGATGTTGCTTTTCTCTTTCAGCTTTACCTTCAGGCCAGAATGAAAGGAGACTGGGCAAGACTTGTACGACCTACTCTGCAGTTTGGTCTTATTGCTGCATCTGTCTATGTGGGTCTCTCACGTGTTTCTGATTACAAGCACCACTGGAGCGATGTTTTGACCGGACTCATTCAGGGAGCAGTGGTAGCTGTGCTCATTGTAAGTAATTCCAGAGGGAGGAGGGGGTATGTGTGTAAGTGCTGCCTTTATAAACAGCACCCTAGAATTGCAGACTGTGTTCAGAGGAGAGCACACCTGTCTTTCTAATGCTTCAAAAGCTGTTGGAGAAGGGAAGCAACAACTTGAACCGCGTGTAGCAGTAGTACTTCGGGAAGTGAGGCAGACCCTAGCCCAACAGCAAGTTAAGTGTTAATCAGCCTTTAAAGAAATGTGAGAGTAATGCTCCAGAGAATAAATTACCAACTACTGAACCCCCTTCCTCAGCTAAAGCTTGACCTCTCCTGTTCCATTCTAAATAAATAACCACATGTGATGAGGGCTCTCAGCAAGCATACTGCTCCTTCTTCAGAGGTGCTCAGGCTCTGGATGCTGTAATGAAGCAGTGCTGAATCAGGCAGCACACAAGCCTTCAATTTGCCTTAAACTATCAGTGGCTGAGTGGTCAATGGGAGGAGGGAAATGCCAATGGGAGGTGCCAGAATTTTATACAAGACTCATTAGCACTTTTATTATGTTTTACTCTCTTTAAACTTTTTTTTTTTGATCACAGAATTTACTTTCTGCAAAAGCATTTACCTACTGTCTTAGAGACCTACAAGTGCAGGAGTTTAACACTGATTTGTCCACTTAGGTTGTGTATGTGTCTGACTTCTTCAAAGTGAGAGGATGTACATTTCAACCAAAAGAAGATTCCCATACAACCCTACATGAGACCCCAACAAATGGAAATCACTTTGGCAGCAATCATCAACCATGAAGAATGACCCACCTCACCTACCCTGTTCTCTGAAAGGAAAAGTTTTCACAAATCTAACCATGTAATTTAAGTAAGGGACTGCTGCTGCTCTTGGGGATGCTCACTTTACCTGTATATAGTAACATCTACCAGTTATTGTGTATCTAAACATTAAAATGTCTGTTGGTTCCAGCTTGTGCTTAAAAGAAAAAAGCTATTCAATTTTTTATTGAAAACACAGTAACAGTTATATTACACTGCTATTTGTACATGCCTTGTTGAAATAACTGTGATTTAAATAAACACCGTTAGAAGAAATAATGATTTGTGATGGAAGTAACATGTGAAGCTGATGAACTTGTTCTGTAACGTGAATGTAGTACTCTTTTTAGGAGATACCTTCTGTTACAGGTAAAGGCTTGCAGCAAACACAATATCTCTCTTGATTTTTGTAATCCCTATTAAAAAGAAAAACTATATTAATATCTAGCAGTCATAACTGACAATCACTATTTTAAGTACAGTTAAAGGCAGTAGAGAAAGTGGTACAAATCTTAAGCAGAAGTCCCTGTACATCCCTTTCTAGTCACAACCTTGGTTTAACTGTCAGTACGTATCAAAACACCACCTCTTTAAATCAGAAATTATAACATACATGTTTTCTGGAAAAAGCAATGATCCTGTTTACCAGAAGCTCATATTAGTAAATCATTAACAGCCTACCTGCCCCCTCAATGCTTTATAGAATTACTTCTCACACTCTGGATGTGAAATACATACCCTCTGCAAACTTATTTTCCAACTCTGTGTTTCCAATGGCTTTTGCAGCCTGGCACATCTGCCGGAGCAATTCTTCGAGCCGTCTCATGCAACGAATTATGCTGCCTATAGAAAAAGAGGGAGAGGAGACTTTATATGCCTTGCCATATCATGTGACTGAATAATTCAGTTGCTTGAGCCCACTTTGGACCAAAGCAATAGTTCCTGCTCCAGCCTCTTCAATATACCTAGAAGCCAAGTGTAAGAACAGAAATATGTCTTAAGCTTGGAGACTTTTACTGTTTAACAGAAACCCATATAGTATTTCCTTGAAGCTATCTCCAAATAGTTGTCCTGTTGTTTTCTTCTGTCTTCATAGCCTCTGCCTAGTCAGAGGCTGTTGAGTAAGTCCTAGTGGATTTCTCTTTCCAGTACTTCAAGACTTCCCTGAAAAACATACAGGTTTGTGTATTTCACAACACACAGGTTTTTGGGTGTGTTGTGTTTATTTCTTTGATAGCCCTTAGGTTCCTTAGTTGCAAAGCCAGTGAGACAGTAAATGGTCAATCTTTCTCGTCCCGTTCAACTCAAGTGTCTATGGACCATGTGACTGCATGTTTACAATGATGCATACAGGCTTGGTCTTGACATAGCTCCCACGCTGCACACCAATACACACTGAAGTTTGTTATGCATTCAGCTCCTCTTAACTTTATTTCTCAGCTCAGCCCAAGTCACTGTCACAAGGCTCACAAAGTGATGCCAACGCTCATGCTCTTTTAGAGCAAGTATGCTGTGTGGTCACTGCCTCCAGCATCATCTCACACCTACAGTCAGAATTGCTGTCTGCAAAATAACTGTCATAGGGCAAATATGGGATGAGTGGATTGAGAGCAGCCCTGCAGTGAAGGGCTTGGGGGGTCTTGGCGGAAGCAAAACTGAACATGAGCTGGCAATGTGCACTAGCAGCACAGAAGGCCAGTCGCATCCTGGGCTGCATCAGAAGCGTGGCCAGCAGGTCGAGAGAGGTGATTCTGCCCCTCTGCTCTGCTCTGCTCTGGTGAGACCCCACCTGCAGTGCTGTGTCCAGTTCTGGAGCCCTCAGCACAGGAAAGACATGGACCTGCTGGAGTGGGTCCCAAAAAAGGACCCACAAAAGTGATCAGGGGGCTGGAACATCTCTCATGTGAAGATGAGCTGAGAGAGTTGGGATTGAAGAAGGAAAGGCTCTAGAGAGACCTTACTGCAGGCTTTCAATACTTAAAAGGTGGCTTTTAAGAAATACTGGGAGAGACTGCTTTAGCAGGGCCTGTTGCAATAGGACAAGGGGTAATGGTTTTAAACTTCAGACCAGAGATGACGAAGATACTTTTCACAATGAGGGTCGTGAAACACTGGAACAGGTTGTCCAGTGAGGTGGTCAGTGCCCCATCCCTGGAAACATCAAGGTCAGGTTGGATGGGAGTCCAAGCAACAAGATGACCCTGTTCACTGCAGGGAGTTGTAGGATAGGTGACCTTTCTATGGTTCAGTGAAATACTAGTTCTAGAAAAGGCATAGCATCTGGAGAAAATCTTCATATGAAAAGAACATTGTGCAAAGTGTAATGGGAAAGTGAGTAGCCAGGGAAGTAAAGTAACACTTTTCTAAAACACATTCAGTATGGTACCAGGCCATGTCAGTTTCTACAGTAAGAACAGTTCTGTGAGGGTACCACTCTGCAAAACCTACTGCAATGACACGAGGTGAAAAACCACACATAGTCTGTGGGTCACAAAGCACAAAGCCAAAGCAAGTGAACCGTGGGCAGCTTCCCCGCACAAGGCCTCGCTGCACTCTGGGGTGGGTTCCAAGGCAGGCCCTTGCTCAGCTCATCTTCCTATAAAGGGACAACCCTGAAAACTGCTGCAGAGAGTGCTCATTTACACACAGTGTAGCTGGGGTTGTTGCAGACATACTTTTTCAGGGCATGAAAAGAAAAAAAATTGCATTTTTGAAATAACTATTTGTCTATGCTTACTCCCACAAAATAAAAGTTGATCTGCAATTGATTAATACAGACCAGTATTGCAACGACAGCCCAGTCAGCCTCACCTCCATCCCTGGAAAGGTGATGGAGCAGCTTGTTCTGAAGGCCATCTCTAACCAAATGGAAGAAAAGAAGGTCATCAGGAGTAGCCAACATGGATTTATTTACCAAGGGGAAATCCTGCTTGACTGATCTGATACGCTTCATGACAGAGGGACCAAATGGGTAGATGAAGGGAGAGCACCGGATGTCATACACTTTGACTTCAGTAAGACTTTTGTTAAGTGTCTCCCATAACATCCTCATAGGTAAACTC